ATTGATGAAATTAATTATTTTATTTAATTTAAATTTTTTAATTTATGATATAAATATCAATTTAATGATAGAATATTTTATTAATAATAACAACTAATTTTAAAATTACAATAAAAAATATTTGAAACCAATACTTTAATTTATTATATATAAGATCTGTATAGGAATTGTATTTTTTTCTTGTAATTCATTGTCAAACTGAACCAGTGATTGAAACACCTGTCGCTTAATAATACTGAAACATACCTTACCTTAGATATACAATATTAGCTCAAATATATATATTATATTAAACTCTTGTTATCAGTAGAGACTAAGAGTTAGTGTGAAATTTTTTAATATGATATTAAATAATAGCAATAATAAGTACAGTATATATATATATACAACAAATCAATAATATCATTACATCTTATTTGATATATTTAATATTGTTTGTTGTAATAAAAGTTTGTCATAACTTACAAGAGATATTATATACAATTATATTGTTTGTATTTTATTTGATATCCTAGTTATTACAGTATTATTATTATTATTATTAATAATAATATCTATAAAAATGAATTTTTTTATCGATTGACAATCTAATTGCAAAATTTCATTATAAGATTTTATTTTTTCAAAATACTACTTATATAATATGTTGTTGTTTCAAATTAATAAAATATTTTTTTTTGTTTATTGAAAGTTTAATTTAGCGAAAAAAATAAAACATTTATTGTTGTTGTTGTTGTTGTGTATGTATTGGTTATAAACAGTACAATAAATGTTGTTATTTGCTAGCTATGCATGATTTAATGTGGAAATCAATTTGATTATTGTTATTTATTGTTTTTTATATACATGTATAAAAAATATACTTAAAAAACCACGTATTGTAAAAACACAAAATTTTCAAGCATTTGATTCAGTTTAACAAACAATGTATATTTTTTTGATAGCATACTATTAATTGTTGAATTATATTAGCAATATTTTAGTAAATAATAATTAAAATAAATGCTCCAATGATTTATGTATTATAGATTGAATAACATTTTAATTAACTTGTAATAGTTTGTGACATATAATTATTATTACAAAATTAAATGATTATCTATTAAATTATTTGTTATATATATAATTTACAAAAATGTTATTGAAAATTATTAATTGATTTTTCTTCTTTGTAATAATACTTAATTAAAATTAATTTTAATTAAAATCATAACTTCATTTTAAATTACGATTTCATAAATGATATTTAATGTAATAATAATTTGTTTAAAAATCATAATAAAGATTAATAGTAGTGTAAACAAATTATTTATGTTTTTTATTTTCAGTTAAGTTTAGAAGTATTTTATTTATTTATTTGTTTTTTTATATATTATACATTTACTTTTGATTCACTCCCACTGTCAGCATATAATAGATTAGATAATACATTACACGAAGGGGTGAATTAAATGCCAGAATATTCATTAGTAAAACATTGGTCTCTGAGACCCCACTCTCTCTCTCTCTCTCTCTCTCTCTCTCTCTATATATATATATATATATATATATATATATATATATATATATATATATATATATACGGTATATACAGTATATACTGTACTAAACGCATGACTAGTGATGAGAGAAAAAATGTGTTTTCTTTGCCAACAGAGAGGACATTGAAAAAAGTAGTCCAACTCGTGGTTTGTATCGGTTTATTCAATATTACGAAAAACTTAAAGCCACTTGTTTTGAGACACTACTTTTTATTATAAGATATTATATAAATTTTTGCAGTATATAAAATAACTTACTTGAATATACAGTAGTTTTATTTATAATCATAACAGACATACTTATGCATATTTTTCTTTTAAAATGTTAACATACAAAATATAATAAATAATGTACAGTATATTTGTGTATATATTTATTATATATAAATAAAATGCTTTTTAAAAATATTTTCCAATGAGATTCAAGCAGTTGAGTCAATGCTCTCTCTCTCTCTCTCTCTCTCTCTCTCTCTCTCTCTCTCTCTCTCTCTCATCTCCAATAAGTTTTAGTAGTGTAATAATAGTGATTCAAATGCTTGTTTATTGTTCAATGCATCATATATTATGTGAAAGGGGTGGAGAGGGGAACCACATATTACATACAAACGCTATACTGTTTGTTGCTTTTGTCAAATCAATTATTTTAAAATTTTATGAAACATCCCATTCCTTCAACTATTTAAACCCATAGACTCCTCCACTCTTTCGACACTCAATTTTAATTCGCTTTTTCATTGAAAATGTCGTACAATATATATATATATATATATATATATATATATATATATACTATGTATTTAACTGCATATATTTGCACATATTATGTACACTTGATATGCAAACACAGCCATTGATAATCAAATTCAATGCATATAACATAACTTTGAATCCAAGTCTTTCAAATATCACTCAATACTATATGCATATAAACTAAGCAATGCTTTTAATACAGTAGTAAATACTGAACTATAATATAACTCATTGTACAGTATATTCCGTACAAATGTTGTCAATGTTTATCTTTATTGTATATTTAGATTGATTGACACAATTTGTTTAATGAATCTCCACTACTTGTGTTTATATTTCAAGTTATGTATGTATTATTTGAATACACTATAAAAGTACACTATATTTATATGAATAACTTATATATTGTATATTAATACTACCGGTATATATCAATATGGCATACAAAGTGTGTTTTACTTAAAATAATGGATCTTTGAATAGATTTAATGTAATGATTGATTTTTATTATTATATTTATTATTAATTGGATTGATATTTTTCAAAAAATAATTTTTACTAAAAATTGAATTTAAACTTTTTTTTATTGAAAATTTTAGTGAAAACTCAATTTTTGTTTGAATAAAATAAGAGTCCAGTTTATGCTAGTTTTGTGATACTTATGTAAAATTAGCCCGAATTTTGAAGGGTTTGCTTAGTATTTGGTTCGTTATTATTCATTCCCATTGATATTTGCTGAACAGCTCTCTCTCTCTCTCTCTCTCTCTCTCTCTCTCTWTCTCTCTCTCTCTCTCTCTCTCTCTCTCTCTCTCTCTCTTAATCTTTATCTATCTATCTATCTATTTAGCTCTAGTATATATTTATTAAGCACTGGTACTATTGTATAGCATCTCACATAAAGATGAGAGTGAGCACAGCTTCTGTATGACTCGCTCTCCAACTTTTTCAACACAACAGTCCCTGCAATGTTATGGCTCTCAATGAAGGCACAGTCAGTACTTAATACTGTAGTGTCAGTCTCTGCTTGTATGCCACTGCTATCACATCACTCTCCCGAAGCCATACATACATACAGACAGAGCCATCAAAACAGTCTTTCCTCTCAATCACTGACTCCGAGACAGTCCTACAAAAAAAGCATTGCTTTTACGCAATAGTTTTGCGCAATATTTTGATTATTATTATTGTTATTATAACTATTTTTTCATAAAAATAATTGTATGTGTGATTGTTATTAATGTTTTTTATGTATTCATAAAATCATTTAATAAGTTTGTTTATTTCTGTTTAACTAAAGTTAACTTTTTTAAAAAAAATATTAATGATTTTATTTTAGAAGTATTTTATTTAGTGTAATGATATATATATTTATATTATCTATTGTGTAATCATTATAATAAAAACTAAGTGTTTTGTATAAAAATAAAAATCTATAGCTTTAATGTGTGAAACAAATAGTTCCTAAAAATTGTGTGAAAAATAATCAAAAGATAATAAAAGTTTACTAAATTATATCTGACTTTTAAAACGATTCAAAACAACAACAAACAAAGCAAAACAAAATAGTAAATTAATGTTTGCTTTAATGATGACATTAATGTTAATTGAAACACTAATCTATTTATATATTATATTATAGATTTATTGTAGTTTTTTTTTGTTGTTTTATTTTTGGTCATCAATAATATTAATGTCTTACCATTAATAATCAGTGCAATCAAGCAATCAGTTCCTTAATATTATCTAAATATTTAATAAATGTTTTGTTCATTAGTTTATAACTAATGTATAATATTATATATAAAAACTATATATGATATATATAGATATATTATAAATACTTTACAATAATAAATGTGTAAATAAATAAATTATTTGATAAAATTTGTATATTCATTATTGCAAATTATAATAATTGAATGATAAAGACTTTAAAAAAATATATATAAATTTTGATGTTTGTTAACTATTTACAGTAAATTATCTGTATATTCATCGATAATACTGATGATGAAGAAAATGCACAGTTGGTTGGACTTATCATTTGTTATGCTGTGCTATTAAAAACAATTATAGATTTGTAAATGACTTTTTACATACAAGACTTTTTTATATATATTTGTGTACAAATAGTTGGACTAATTTTGGTGTCAAAAGCGTTATAATATTGGGAGAGAGAGAGAGAGAACCCAATGACCGAAACATTATATCCATTGACATAACACTTGTTAATGACTTTATATATGCTTTTGGTTTTTTGTTTCCCAAACGCTATGGTTTTCATCCATTTGACACATAGATAGCACATACACACCAACTTATATGAGTCCCCACATTAACTGTCGATACATTACTTAGTCACTCATCAAACAACAGTTGATATCATTTTTTTGTTGTTATTTTGTTTGCTATTCATTTGACTTGTAATCGAGTGGTTATCACGGCTAACGTTCCCAACATTGCCTATATATATATAAATATATATATATATATATATATATATATTTCATACTTATATTACAATAAATATATAGTATTATATAACCATATAAATAGTCATATATTGTACAGTTGTTGACCTTTAACTTTTGAGTGGATGAGCGGACAGTTAGCTGACAATTGTGAGACCACTTAACACCCACACACACATACACAGACCATAACCACAATGAATACGAACTCAATTTTGCCATTGTTTTGGACAAACAGAAAACACACCAATAATTTGTTGGTCACCACTGATCAAGAGTTACTAAAACTTAATGCAAAATCAATGGACAAACTGTTTGCTGACAAATATGATACTCTTATGAAGTCTAATGACAACAAAAATGATAAGTCATTTTCTGGTTATAATTCAGGTAACAATTCGTTTGATTTTATTATTAAATGTATTTAAAATAAATAAATATTTTATTTTTTTAATTAAATTTGTTCTAATGCTATACATTAGATTCAATTTTTATTTTTTATTGCTTAATGTTTGTCATTATATAACAACATGTATTTTAATTTAATACTTTCAGTACATAAAACAAAAATAAAAAACCTATTTAAAGGTTTACAAAATTAGATTTTGATGACAATATTGACGGTATATACTGTATACTAAAACTTGTGTATAATTATTTGTATTATTTAAAGTTGTTGTCTATTAAATAATAAATAAAAATAATAAACAAAATAATTTATTTGTTTAGCATTGTTTGACATTATTTACAATATGTTATCAATGTATTTGTGAGTACCTTAAATTTAATTCATTAGTTTTAACAGCCAATAGTCAACGTTAGATACCATGAAATCACAAAATGTTAACTTTGAAAAACTTAAATAATATATAAATCAATCAATGGCTTGTGTTATATAACTTATTTATATAACGTGTGAATATACAGTATTAATAAATTTTAGTCTTTATTTTTCTTTCATAAAATAAAATAATTATTTTATTAATAAATAATTTATGAATAAATTTTAGTAATTATCTATACTTTATATAGTTTATAAATTATATATTTATTTTTATTTTTAAATAACTAATATATCTTAAACAAAATAAATTACTAGTATGGATAAATTTATACAGTATAATATTAGTTTTGTATTACCAATTATTTTTTCCTTTATACTAATATACATAATATTATATTATATAATTTGTATTGTCAACTATGCCCAGTAATATAATTTGTATTGAATCACAACAACAAAATTATATTTGTTTCACATAATAAATACCAATAAATGTGACTCTAATTTATGAGAGAAAACTTTGTGAGAAATGGAGTTTATGTGTAAATATCAATAATAGACAGTAAAGTATGTATGGATTGGACTTTATCTGACTGTATGTCCAGTTGTAGTCACTTTTCAATCGATATTTGAATGCATTTACTCTACATTTGTCTCTCTTTTGCATTTCTGTTGAATTCATTATAAGAGTAATACTAGTGCCGCACAAATACAACACAATCTACACTTTCCTCAAATACAAAGCTGACATCATTTGAGCTCAAAATTTCTCTCTCATCCCTACCTTATTCTTTCTCTTTTCTCTCTCTCTCTCTCTCTCTCTCTCTCTCTCTCTCTCTCTCTCTCTTAGTCTTCATCCCTGTCCTCCCATTCCAATAGAGGTTCATCTCATGTGAAGCCCTCATCTTTAAGTCCACCGGGGATTTCGCTTTCTCTCTATTGGTTTCTCAAATGCAAAGCAAAATTAAACCCAATTTCAATATCTCTCTCTCTCTCTCTCTCTCTCTCTCTCTCTCTCTCTCTTTCGGCTTTAATATCTATTTATGCATTCAATATATTTTACTTAAGTTGTTGTTTGTCTGCTATAGTAATTGCAATGACTATACACTGACTATACTTTCTTTACATTTCCAATTCAACGGAATTAAAGCAACTATTTTGCAAACACTAAGTCCAGCCAAACACTCAATATTAGCCTATTTTATATTAAATATTTTATTTTATCAATACTTTATTTATTCATTAATTTTATATTAATCATAGTATAGACATAATAACATTTTTTTAAATAAAAGAATAAATTTATCATATATTTATATTACTTATTTTTATTTAAAACTAAATTTTTAACAACAAAAAATTTACTTATATATTTTCTATGAATAGTTAGATTATCATTGAGGATATTTATTAAATTATATAAAAATTATTACCAATATATTTAATACAAAATATGTTAAATAATATAACATACAATTTGTTGTCTAACATTCTTTACATTTGTTTTTGACAAAACAATTTGTTTTACAGTAGTTTTATTTTGTGTCCTCGATATTCAATACGATCACTACTACAGTACTACATATATGTATATATATTGTATATTTCTGTCTACAAGTTTTTGATGTGTTGTTAGTGTTTATGCAAAGCTATGTCTCGTTTAATATGCATTTGTGACGACAACGGCATGTATTTTTGTACTGTATATTCAAATAACAGAACAGATAGCCATAGACACACACACATAGATATAGCATTGTCCACACAGTTGATAGCACTATTACCCGCACATACATGTATATAATTCACCCATTTTTGCATAGAGATGTTGTTGTCATGTCGTGGATGCCAACAGTGCTCTCTGAGAAAGTGATGTTATTTTTTTAAGGGGAAAGAATGAGATGCAAGACATGTATTGTTTGTGAGAGTGATATTCATAAAGAAAGGAGAAATGCATACAAATTACTTATATTGACATCAATTTGAATGAAAACAATTGGCACAAACTTTTCAGAAAATAGAGTCAGTAGTTGTAGTAATATTAAAGTCCAAACACTATTTTGTTAGGTCTTTCCTATCGTTAGGGAATAAGAGCCGTATTTTGCATTATTTGCTTCAATAGTTTACATAAAAATTGCATTTTTTTCTCTCTGAATATCCAATGGTTTTTTGCATTCAATGTTAAGGCTTAACAACAGTAATAATATTCCCAATAATTCTGATGCTATTTTCTCTCTCATTTCGATGTATACATTGTTAGCTAAACTTAGCGAATATGATATATTGTTAGCCATATAAATGCATTGTTATATGCAATATACTGTATATATTTTTTGCTGATCTCACATACATTTTATGCATACATACAAAATGATCATCTTTATTGATCATATTATATATACAGTATATACATATATATATCTTATATAATGAAATATGCTATAAAATATGCATTTTTTGTTGTTTTACTAATTTTCTGGACATTCACTTGTATGACATTTTCTGGGCATTAAGCTTATTGTGTATTAAACAAAAATTTTGTTTGACTTATTGTTTTAACATATTATAATAGAAATTGTTAAAACTATTAAATAATATTATATTATAGTCTGTATTTATTATTTAATTTTAATTATAATTTTAATTAGAGATTTTATCAACAAAAAAATCATTAAATAAATATTTGATTATTTGTAATTTAATTTATATATAATATCGTAAAAATTGTAATTATTAATAAATATTACTAATTATTTTTTATAATACATATAAAATTATCGTAAATTTATTACTAAAAAATTATTTAACTTTACTATACAAATAAATGGAAATTTTTATGATTTTAGTTTATTTTTCTAATAAATAATTTTATATTATTATATGATTAGCATATTGATTGAAATACTGTATTACTAGTAATGTTATATTATATAACTTATATAGTATAGTATGCATAAGTATTTTTTCATAAACACTATTATTTGTACAAAAAAAAGAAGTGTATTTTATTGCAAAACATAATATAATTTATTTTTTAAATGAACACAACATCTAATTCAGATACTATTATTTGATATATATATATATCAATACAGTATAATCAAAGTATTTACAAATACTGTACATTTGCTGAGTGAGTCAGTTAAGGTAGATTTAGGAGAGTAAGAGGGAATAGGGAGAGAGAGTTAGGGAGAGCACCTGTAGTTATTATACGGATGTAACAGCTAAGCTTAATGCATATGCAAAGTAATATTCGTGCCATTAATACGTATTGGTGTTTGTATGGTATGAGTGGATACAGTAATGTACAGTATATGGTTATACCCAGTAATGCAATGGAGTATCCTTTACGGCTAACTTCACAATTTAGCTCACAATTCAATCTGTTTTCTCTCAATATATTTTGCGAGTAATACTAATATATGCAGTACTCTCTGAAACTGCATTTCTAACAGTAATTCCTGAATCCCATTCACTATTGCCTTCCCGTTCCCTCTCATCCATACTGAGCCCTATTATTTGCATACGATATATATATATATATATATATAAGGCACTGAAACATAAACCATTACTAGCAATACTTGTTATTACATTCAATGATGTATTTACGCGATTCATGTGATGTCTATTACTACAACCTCACCAGTTATTGACCCATTGGTCTCATTACAGACTAAGATACTGATGTTATATACAAATTTGACTAATATTTTGTGACTAAACACACAGTTCTAAGAAATTTATTTAATATTATATTTATTTGTTGAAATTTTTATTATTATACAATAATATACAATAATTTAAATTTTGCAAATTGTATAATTATTTAATGTCGCACACATACAGCATTTGTGATAGTATTTATGAATATGTCATTAAATAACTCATTCAAATACTGTTCACACAGAAAGAAAGAAAGAAAGAGAGAGAGAGAGAGAGAGAGAGCACAGTAAGCTTTAATGGTTAGCTCACATCAGGCAAAGGCAATCCCTCTCTTGAGCCGTCATTATAGACATTGAGAGAGAAACCAAATGCTATTATTATGAGCCGAAACAGTCTATTGCTTACAACACTGGTATAAATTGCCACTAAAAATGCTCACTGTTTTTGATTAGTCGTATAAACAAATGTTTTTACATATATAAATTAAATATAACTATTACTATATTTTAAAACATCTATTTTTAATTATATAAAGTATTGCTAAGAATTTGTATATATAATATTCTGTACAATTGCCAACATTTAATAGCAAATATAATTTATTTCATATATATATTATTGATTGTATTAAAGTAGTAGAAGTCGTGGTTATCCCTCATTTACATCCTATGACTGTATGATTTTTGCCACAAAACGACATACAACTAGTATTATAACATATAATATGATAATAACGATCATCAATAGTGTGACACAATATGGTATTCAATAACAAAAAAATAACATGAATTTGCAAATGCAATGACTTTTCAATATATCATAGGATGTGATCGTCTTTTTCTGTTTGAAAATGTCTTGTGTTTTGCACTTTTTTTGTCATCAATTTCTTGACTATTCATAAATGTTATGAATTCACAGTTTTGTTTTATATATGTATGTA